CAGTGTCCCTTCTGAGTAAACAGTCCTTTTGAGCGATGTGATTGTCGAACAGATGGCTGTGTGGATGCAAACAGTTCTTGAACTTCGTGTTTAGTGTGCTAAGTATCTGTATTACCTAGTTTCCAGTACATATTAGTGTATCATTAACCTCACTTCTGGTGCTACAGAAGTTTTCAAAGGGACTATTGCAACAGTGCTTCCTGCAAAAGTGTGCTTTTGCTTTCACATGTTTTTGGTAATGCCCTTAAAAGAGAGATTTGCAATGGGGTTGTAAGTGTATTTGGATTGTGTGGAGCAGCTGTTAAATAAACTAGCCCAGCTAGTAGCCACGTGCTGGAGAATGTCAAGATGATACAGTTCTGAAGAAATCACCCCAAACTTTTCTTGGATGTGCTTGTTCCCCAAGTCTGACCTGGTTCCTGTTTGTACTAAATATAGCACATTCTCCCATAACTGATTGGGAGGGAATTTCTAAGCATCTGTGCACGGGAACCACTTTGTGAGCTCTGTCAGGCAAACCCAAAAGGAAAAACGAATATACTTACAAAATGTATCATTTAGTATTTCAGCTGCATTAAATATGATGTACCGAACTTATCATTTCAGTAGCATTAAATATTCTATAATTTGGCCCCTAGGCTCAAGCCTGGGTGCTTGTCAGCTGAATTAACCAGAGACAGTCTCAACCTGCATAGAAAACTCAGGGGCAGAAAGTACAGCAAAGATTATCTAGACTACTCCTCTGGCCCAAGGTGAGATCTCTGTATCTCTGTCATACCTGACAGAGGTTTGTCTGACTTGTTCTCAAAGACCTCCAGGGATGGAGATCTCTTAAGATCTCCGCAACCTCACCAGACAACTGTTCTACCCATTTCATAAAGCTTATAATTAAAAAGTCTTTTCCTTAATGTGCCATCTAGAGCTTCTGTGCTACAAATTAAACCCATTGCTAATTGTCCCCTGCCAAGCACTGCTGTATACTGTGAACAGGGAGAAGAGATTATTCTGTAGCCCTGCTTTCTCACATGAATTTCAGTTCAAGGTAACATGAATGGCTGTATTTAAACAGTAGACAGGGATTAAATTTGATGGCAAGGATTGCAATTATGTGATAAGATGGAGCCAGAACCTCTTTGGAGTTGCAGCAAATAGGACAAGAGGCAATGAGTACAAGATGGAACGTGGGAAATTCCAGTCACCTGTGAGAATTTTTTTCTTTCTTATTCTGTCTGCTCTTTGGTTTGGTCGGTTGGTTTATTTGTTTTGATATTGGAACAGGTTGCCCAAGTAAGCTGCACAATCTTTACTCTTGGAAGTGCACAAAGCACGGCTGGGTGAAGCACTGCTCTAACTGGAGCTGCTTTGAGCAGGAACCACATTCCTTTCAGCCTAATTTGGGCTGTAATTCTCTGTCACAGAATTTTTCATCCAGTGTGTCCATTCACAGAAGGTTTTTTGAACTTGTTGAATATAGGTAGCTCTTCTTACTGAATGTCCCTATTCTGACCATAATTTTAAGTTTTATTTTTATTTTAATCAAAATTAAACCTAGTGCCTCTTAGTTAAGGATGTACTTTTCTTTTGTTCTTGTGGAACCTGAAAATGTGTCTTTTTCTCTTTGGCGGTGAGGTAGAATTTTGTTGAAATGGAATTTTATAGGTGAGTGCCCGGCACCTTCTGGTTTCCCAGGACACATTGTTAAATTGATTGTTAGAGATTATATATTGAGGAACACATTTCAAGATCATCCTCTCTAAAGTCCTGGTGAATTCCTTTGTCACACTGAAAAACTTTAGAAAGGATGATCCTGAAATGTTGCTTCCCTCTTTACTACTTTAGTTCTTCAGAGGAGGGATCTTGAGCAGGGAACTCTGTTTCAGGATGGGTGAATTAAAAAAAAGCCAGGGCTTTTAAACCTTGCTTTTTTTGGCTCAGAAACCCAGCAAGGAGACAGATGAGAAGCAGAAGTGTGATGCCAGATGCTCTAGTCTGCCAACAGAACATAGGTACAGGTGGAAATCCTACTCTGTCATCCCATTCCCAGTGTATTGTCTGCTTTGCACACCTTCTGCATCAAAAAGGTGAATTTCACCTTTATTTGAAAATTTCTTTTCAAACTTTGAGGAATTGCCAAGTAAAAGAGAATAAAAACTATTTCATGTGTGTGAAAATATTTTCACTAAAAGGTAATGAATGTGTAGTACTGAAAGACTAGAGAAGAGTAATAAGACAGACAATTAAATTGTGTTCTCTCTGGCTCCATACTGGACCTTGTAGTAGTAACTGATGGCTACATACTGAGAAGTGAGTACCAATTTTCAATCCTTAACCAAAGCTTTACAATAATTCCAGGAGAAAATTCAGAACAGAGAAGTTTTGAATTAACTCTACAAGTGGTGTGAAGAGAATTTCTTTAATTATTAATTTTGTCCTTCTAGAGACTTGCACCAAGTTTGCAATTCCCCATAAAGGTGACCTAGCAGAAACTTTATTTCAGATTGTACCTCCATTTCTGTACCTTCTCCTTCGAAGTGTTCACCCTTACAGGTTGTCTGTTGTTCTTTTATTATGAGAGATGACTCTGGATACTTCCTCAGATTTTAAGAGAACACTAGAGTTTCAGAGAACATTTGTTTTATCTTTTCTTTCTTCATCTGACAAATGAAACATACATTACTGACTCCTTGTTTTTTCAGGAGTTTAAATGGATAAACAAATTTTTAAAGTCCCGGGGCTGAACTGCCAGCAGAGGCAGTTGTCTTTCCAAATGTTAAATAGTCATTGACTTTAAATAGGTTTATTTTTAAGAATGCAAACCTAATACAGTTTAACTAGAAGTCCCTTCCTATTGTTTAACTTTTAGTCCTGATTATGAAGATGCCATGATTTCACTATTTTTCTAGTTCCTCTTGTCTTCCGGGGTTGTCGTGACCTGATTTTTTTTTGTATCAAAACAAGCAGAAAATGGAGGATGTAGAATGAAAACACAGCATTAATAAGCCAAAATATTCAGAGTTTATTTGGTTTTTCGTAGAGACACTGAGCTCACCTTTAACTTAAACTCCCCCTAAGCCTGTCTTGGTTAATCTTTGATGTTTTTTGCTTTTTCTGATTAGTTAAAAGTTAGTTAAGTCTAATTAGTTTTTTACAAGGGTGGCCCTCCCTTGCGTTATTTCCATCACCACTTTTAATTGCTGGGTTGAACAGGAAAACTTTTGACTGTGTATTTTTTAAATCAGTTTGTCTCATGAACACCAGCAACAGTGGACTTTAGGGGCTTTCTGCTTGTCATGTATTTCACTGTCTGACAGTTCTTCTACCTGAGTTTTTCTTAGTGTCACGCTGGTTTCCTTAGACAAGCCTTGCTCATAATCTGTGTCTCACTGTCTCGTTAGGTTTCCAGATGTATAGCCTTGTTATAGTTGGTTGCCTATAGTTGGTTGAGAATGATTTTCCTCACTGTATTTGGAAAAACAAAAGCTTATTTCATATGTGGATTTAATGCACCTCAGTATGTCCCACTCCCTGCAAACAGGTGAGATTACACCAAAGATTGATTGTCAGCCTCACTGAGAAAGGAAATCTGCTGGAATACGTGCACATACTCACTGTGGGGATGAACTAGCCTGCCAGCTATGTCACTGTGGATTTTGCTTAGCATTCAAAATGTACTGTGTCACTGTTCAAATTGAATGAGATGCTCATAATTGTTAAAGGAAATGCAGCCCCCTTAGTTGTGTTCAATAGTCGAAGCTAAGACTGGGAACGCGATTAATTTTCCAGTACTAGAGGTAGCAATGCCTAAATGTGCTCCTTTGTGTGTCCAGCACTTTAACCTGAAACTCTTAAATGATGTCTACAATGCTAGCAAACAGAAATGCAGGAATAGTGCTGGGACCGTTTCTCGGATGAGTAAATCAGGATATTGGGGTTTAATGGCTTGGTGAAAGTCCCTGGGGGTGAATCAGTGATGATCCTAAAATTCTGGTGGCAGGTTGCCTTCTCTCACAGCTGCAGGTGAGATGAGGTGGTTGAAGTGTGCGAGTGTATCCGTGCCACATGCAGATTATTCTCCATCAGCAGCTCCCAGTGCAGCAGGATGGGCGGTCTGGGAGAGGTCTCCACGTGTCTGTCTGGAGTTTCTGCTTGGTAATGAGCATTCATTCACGGGCAGGGAGATCTGAAATGTCTGGCAGTCATGGCTGGAAGCTAATTTCTTTGTTCACGGAGATCTGTGTTTTAATGCTGTTAATGTTTTCATTTCGTTCACTTGTTAGGGCAATAAAAGAGATTTTATTCTTGGCAGAGGGACGTACCCCTCGCTGAATGAGAACCTTTGGCAGTCTAAACTTTAGCCACCCAACTGCTGAGAGGCGGTGGCTGTTCCCAGCTGGTGTGAGGCAAAGCAGGGAGGAAGGCAGTCCCTGCTCAGGGTGCTGTTGTGGCACTGTCTGTGCTCGGGGGTTGTTCACACTGGGACCAGCCCTGTGCCTGACTGTGGAGGTGCAGTCAGGCTGCAGGCAGGAGTGGCTTACAGCCTGGAGAACACAGCTAGTGTACCACTGAATAAATTAGTGAGATCAGAATCGTGCCTGAGCCGTGGCATCTGGGCTTGTCTGCCGGGTCCTGGCTGCGAGGCCGCTGTGCCGCAGCCGCTGCAGCGCTGTCAGACCGCGCAGTGGGGACGGCTCCAGCTGGCACTGCAGCCACCTGATTCGAGTCATAATCCTGTTTGACACTCTGCCGAGCTCCCCCTGCACAGCAGCCTCCCTGCGTGGGAGGGCACGAGTCCATGGGGTAGTTGAGGTTGAAGGGACCCCGGGATGTCATCTAGTCCAACGTCCCGCTTAAAGCGGGTTTGGCCACGAGGTCAGGTCAGGTTACCCAGGGCCTGTTCAGTGAAACTTGGAGTACCGAGTTCTGAAGGAATAAAAGCTAATTAAAGCTTCATGAAGCATGTCACAAGCAGCAAAGCTCCCAGAGAGGGGAGGCCAGGGGAAATATGTTCACAGTTTGTTACAAAAGGAGCAGAAAGACAACGCTGCAGCTGGAAAACTTTTTTCTGCTTGCATCAGCAAGGGTCTCAGTTGGGATCTGGCAGGTAGATTTCCATCCAGAAATTGTTGTTTGCTTGGTAAGCCTAAGAAATTATTCAGACTGCTGTGACAGCATAGGAGGATTTTTCAATTTTACTTTTTTTTGACTGGTGACATGAAGTGTAGCTAATGCAGAGTCACTGGTATTCCTACAGCGTGGTGAATATCACACTGCTCAAGCCTAATTGTGACACAGAATCAGCTGTGCTTTGTTGAGGTCAGCTGAAGGCCAGGACTGTTGAAAACTGGTGGGTTATACCAGGGAAAGCCTTACTTCATATGTACCTTATGCCCTTGTATTTTTTCCCTGAGTGTTTGCTGGGGCCTTCTGTCAGAGACAGGCTCAGAGAGAGGTGAAAGTTCCTGTGATAGTGGCTGGTGGAATTGCCATTCTACTGCTGTCTCATCAGGCACTTGTGCCTGAAGGCTCCTGCTGTGTTAAAGGCTTTTCTCTCTACAGTAAGTGTAAGATCTTGTGCTTTCGTCTCAGTAATTTGAAAGTGGCATCATCTTAAAATACAAACTTCAAAATCTGCAGCAGGAGCAGTATTGCTTGTGTAATGCCTAAAAAGGGGCTCAGACTCTGAATGGGGATTTTGTGTGCAAATGATTAAACACCAATAAGTCTTACTGTCTGTTGTGGCAAAGTGGAGTAGGAGGGAAAATATATGGAGAGGAAGATTGATTATATTGAAGAGAAGAAAGCAGCATTTGCATAGTTTCTGCATAGTTTCATAGGACTTAATATCCACGTATATCTTCAAATAAGCACAATGTAAATGTTCTCTGGGGCTTTTTCTTATGCAAGACGCTATTTATGGTTAAAGCTATGGAAGGACCCTTTCATATTAAAACTTCCTGTTCTTTTGATTTACCAAAAGTTAGGTAAAGAAAGGAAGATTAAAGAGGAAGGAAAGTCTAAATAGATTTCTGTTTCTGGAAGCAGAGACTACAAAACAGCTTTTCAAGCAGGGTATAAATTATGCTTACAAATAAGCAGCACGGTCTGTACAAGTCTTGTGTCTCAGAGCTGCTCAGAGAAGAATTTCATTACATGTAGAGATTTAGTCATATTTGAAGTCTCAGTTCCTAAAAGGAAAGAAACCTCAAACCACTAGTTCCTGAATACAGATGGTTTTAAAAAACTGGGCAAAAACCCAACCAGGAAAACAACAACAAAAAAACAAAAAACATGTAATACAAAACTGTTGAGAAGTTTTGAATGTAATAATTTCTAATAAATGCTGCATTTAGTTGTTAACTTTATAGATATTGTAATACCTAATATAAATGTTTATAGCTTATAAGGGTTATGTGTGCAGAGAAAAGAATAAGATTTGTGTGCATTTTCTGCACTGAGATAGTCTTTTAAATCAGACAAATGTGTGTGATTGATAATAATCACAGAACAAGGGAGAAATGCCTCCCTCACTTAAAGTTGAATCAAAAGCTGGTATTGGAGAATGCTGAGGTGTTAGTCAAAGAGAAAGAGGTAACTCTCACGGTAGAACTTAGAAGCTGACATGGTGAATCATTCATTTATTATCAAATTTTGCATATAATTTTTTTTCTTGCTTCTGTTTTGTGTTTCCTTAAAGCACGCAGATCCTATCAGATGGAATTAATTGTTAAGAGATTTTCTCCAGGCTTGCAGGTTGCTTGATAGTTTGTGTAGAACTGGAAGCAGCAGGCAGAAGCGTGGTGCATCTGCGAGCTGCACATTGTCACCTTCATTCAGAAGGTGGAATTTGTCCCAGGGCAGGGGTATGTGTGAAAAAAAGCTAGAGTTTGACTTAGCCCACTTTTGAAAGTTTACTTAGAAGTTTGATGTGGTTGTTCAAGTGTCTTACCTGTATGAAGAAAATAGAGGTTGCATGGATTTCTCAAGGACAGATTAGTGCCATCCAGTTTCTATCGTATAAAACACTTTCAACACACCCATCTGTCTGATCACTTCACATTAAGCAGTTGTACTTAAAGGGTGAAAAAGTATTGCTTGAAGTTTAAAGACTACTAAGTGTAACTTCAGAGTTTTTAAGAAATTGCTGTTCCCCAAGCATTAAACTGTGTTCATTTAAACACCTTTTTCGTCCATAACATGATCCTAGAAGGGCCACTAACAAATCAACCTACCTGCTTATTTTAGGTTCCTTGAAAGAAATACATCTTTAAGTTGAAACAGGATTAGTGACCTAATGAAAATAGTAGCTTTCTGCATAGGTTGGATGGGTAGGTGTTACCCGCTTTGAAACAATTACTCTCATCCAAATGCCTTGTTGACACAACTACAATTTGCATAGGACTTTGTGTTCTCGTTCTCCTTTCCCACTCCTGTTGAGCAGGATAGATTTCATCCAAAAAAAGCTGGAGTGACTTTATTCTGTTTTAATAAACCAGGTTGCATCAGGAATTGAAATTACAAGGATCATACTGTAAAGATAAACTAGGTAGCAACAGTGTATGGCAGCCACTGCGAAGGGTGAGATGGGAGGCAGGTGCTGCCCAGAAAATTTTAGTCCAGGGAAAAAGCATTTGCAGGTTGCGAAGCTGAAAATGTGCTTACATGAAATGTGTTTGTGAAGCCTTACAGTGAAGTTGCATCATGTTTTTGGGCAGATGGTCTTGGCAGAAGTAACGTGAGCTTGGACAGCAGTCCTTGGATCTGTGAGAGGAGCTGACACCAAGGAAATTCAAGGGCATAAAAGTGGGGAGGAAAGGAGCTTGCCTTGCCTTGCCTCTGGGCTGAGGCACTGAGCTGAGAGAAGAAGTGAACCCGTGGTTTGAGTGAGGCGAAGCCCTGCCTTGGTGCTGATTCATTTCAGTCTGAGGTAGAGCTGATGGGGAGTGCAGAGGGTCGTGGTGCAGGGCTGGTGGTGTGTAGGGCCTTGGCTGTGTGGAGAACCGGACAGTTTGAAGCACAGTAGACTGTGGGGCTGGGGGACACGGCAAATCCATTTGGGATTGGAGCTGTGCATTTGAAGGACAGCTGACCAAAAGGGGCAATTTAGGATTGCTAAGGATAGGATTATTCTCTGGGCTGTGAGTTGAGTTTGCTTTATCCAAATTCTGTTCTTTATTCTCCTTGGGTTTTTTGGAAGTGCAAAGTAGCCCACGCTGAGGGCTGTGATGTGTTTGTGTTCTGCTGTGGTGTTCTTGCAGACTGAAAACTGCTCATCTCACAAGCACAAATCGGTTTGTTTGTGAAGCTGTGCTTTTGGAGGACCTTAGTCTGAAATATTGTTCCTTGCTTCTTCCCCGTGCTTCTTCTGCCACTTGAAGTGGTTGTTGCCATCTGTCCTTCTGGATTTATTTCCACAGCAGCTGCTTTGGGAATCTTCGAGCCTGTGGAGTCCAGTGGGTTTGTGTAGAATAGGGATCTTTTTAGTACAGAAGGAGAAGAGAGCAAGCACTGGGCTTTGGTCTTAAAATGAACCTTTAAACAACAGATCTCCTAAAAGGAACACAATGCATAGGTGCAAATTAAAATTAAGGAATTGGAGAATGTGTGAAAACGAAAGGAATCATCTTCTTAATGTGCTTTTTGTATTCATCTTAGGCTTGTCAAAATGAAGAGAAGAACCATTCCACAGAAGAACTTTGCAAGTCTGAAATCCAGGAGGAACTGAAAAAGGCTAATAGCCTTCCTAGTTTGACTCCTGGAACCAAAACAGCAGATAAAGACAAGCAACCCCGAGAAGGTTTTTTTCATTTCCTTGGAAGCTTATTTAATATTGCAACAAAATCTTCTTTGGTGGAATCTAAACCCTCTACCTTCCAAGATGAACCCAACAGATGTGAAAAGGATTTACAGAACACAAATACCTTTCCAAAGGACGTGCAACCAAAGCATCCGAAAATTGAAGAGCCTCTCTGTTCTACAGCCAGGAAAAAAGAAGATTCTGTAACTAAAGGGGATGCCACCTTAAACAACATAGGGAAAGATATCTCACAGGATCTGCAAGGAGGCTGGAAACAAGCTGCAGATACAGAGAAGTAAGTTTTATAATTCATTACTAAATATGTTTATGTGTGTGCACACACAGAACTGCATTGTCTGAGTTCCATTGACTGTGTGACAAATGTCTGTCATTTCTAAGGATGGTTGGAATGTCTCTGGCTTGACTTCATGCAAAACTCTAGTAGCAACTCTCCTAAATAGACTTGATGATTTTTGCTTATTTGGTTTTTTTCCCCCCTTGTTCTTTGGGATTTTCCTGTAATGTAAAGAGGGTTATGTAAATCGCTCAGTTAGGCCAAATATGGACATTCTGAATAGTCCTGTAATATTTCAAAATAAGCTTTAAAAAAAAAAACATCAAAAAACAATTGGTGCCAAGGGCACCACTGTGTCTGAGAGTAGAAATGTGCAGACATTGGCTGTGGTCCACACTGAGAATTAGAAAATATTTTGTGTCATAAAAATAGGTGTTATTTTTCCAAAAACATTTTGTATCTGTTATGTTGAAAATTAGACGTCATGTGGGGCAGCACAGCATAGGTTTGGAGTTAGTTATGAATGTACACCCATGGTACCTGTCCAATTCTTGATAGGCTGTTCATGGGCAGTGGGGCTGTAAGTAATGCTGAGATTTTTAATATGACCCAGAGTATTTATTTAAAATTTAAGCTGAAAATAATGACTAGGGGTAACCAGTGAGCCTGTCAGAGCACCCCTGCTTGCATTGCAGAAAGGGAGGATGTACTGAGAAGAAACACCTGCTTTTCTTGGAAGGTTTTAAACTAATTTGAGTTGTGCTCAGGATATTTTTTGGTGGCATGTGAAGTGTTTGTTTCATCTCCAATTAGAAGGTCAGAGACACCTGAAATAACTGCTTACTGAATTCCACTTCCTTCCTGGGGATGTCTCCAGCGCTCTGTCCTTGCCTATTCAGCAGAATAATTCAAGGCATTTGTTATTCACTGTCAGAATATAAATCTACTGGCTGATGAGGATATGAACAGGGGATGTGACACCTCTTTAGGTGACATTAAAGCTGTGTTTCCCCCAGCACCATAGGGTGCTGATTGTAGCTATAACCACAGCAGTGGTCGTGTTCTCGTGAGCACTCTGGTTTGGTCACTGACGTGGTCGGCTGGTTTTTATTACAGACTCTTATCGTGGTCACACATCCAGCGCTGCTCTTTGCAAACCACTCGTTGCAGCTCAGCACCACCACTGCTTTGATCGATGCAGAGGCAAATTTCTGCTCCCCTTGGCTGTTATCTGCAGAGGCCCAGCACTGTGTTGCTTGGGCTAGTTCTTAAAACCTGTTGGACAGGCCGTGGTGCTGCATCCATCTCTTGCTGCTGTTTGCACAGTTTACAGCATCTCTGTTTGCTTCCTGTGAACTCTTCAGGATGATGTAGATTAATAAATGTAACATCAGGAAAAGTTTGCAGAGTTTGGAAGGTGTGAGTATGAACTCACTGAGGTGACCTCCCTGCTCTGTGCAAGCGGTTTTGGGTTGGTTTTGTATTCTTGAAGGCAAAGTCGTAGTTGGGCATTTTCAACTGACCATGTTTTGACATTGTCCTGTGTTGTTAGGTATATCTATCGAATCCATCTAGAGTCTTCTCAGTGTAGTTCATCTGCCTCGTAGCCAAGCAAGCATAGAAATATGTATGTTGCTAGTTTGGAGGCAAAAGTAAGTTGGCCTATATAGAGTGTGAAGTTTTTCTGCGGAAAATTACATTTTTAAATGGGAAAACAAAATTTTTTTTTTTATTATTGTAGCTGTTGCAAATTACAGCAAACATGAAGCCAGTGTTTTTTCAAAAATACGGTGTACATTCTGCCCTTTTTGACTCAGGGTACTGACAAGTTTGACAAACTCTGTGTAACTTCTGTTATGTTTTTCTCTGCCTGACAGCACCATGTGAAGTGTTTTTCTGAAGCAATTAGTAAAGAGAAGCTGAAAGGACAATGCGAAAGTCTAGGTTTGCACTCATTACCTTTTTGAAAAGTTTGAATCGAGGATACCTCTTTGTTTTCTTTTATGCAAGCGATTATACTGGGTTTGCTCTCTTAGTTTATAAATGTTTAAGTCATGCTGAGCAGTTTTTTCTTTTCAATACTAGCTGGCTTCTTAACTAAATATTAACTAACTGGTACTCATTTAGCCAAGTTAAGCTGTAAAAGTGCTCCTGGTTGCTCCTGGTTTGCCAGAGAGTCTCGTAGAAAGTACCCAGTAGTTGAAGTGGGTACTGAAAGCACATGAGTAGTGATGAGGAAAAGGGGGGAAATGTAGCCCAACAGAACAGGAAAGTGTGGATACCACAAAGGGAGAGGATAGTGTGAACATAATTGCTTGAAGTTTGAGTCCTAAAAGACATATGAGATGTGCTAGTGAGCCGTATAAAGTCAGAGGCTCTATTGATTCCATGGATTGTTATGTTAAACTGCAATTTTAGCATTTAGTGTAGAGGCAGAATGAAGCAGAGGGCTTTACAAGTCCTTAAGACCACTGTATTATTAATCTTACAGCAGTTTCCTTGGCCATCAGGAACATGTAAATGAATTTGTTAATTCTAAACTGCTGTGAAATATTACATTAGAGATTATCTGTGGTTAGCAAGGAGGTTGCAATAGGTGAAAGAGGGATGGTTGTTAGATTGCATAATCCCCACTGGGTTGTTTAAAAAATAATAATCCAAAACCAAACAACCTTTCAAATCTAAAATACCCACCAAATAGTCTCAGATGCTTCTATTCAGACAATCTCATTAACCTCTTATCCTTAAAATATTATTTTACAAAATGCAGTGGAATCAGACTGCTCTGACCTGTCAGCTGAGGTTAATTTTACTCTCAGTGGGAGGCCTGGCACTTGGTAAAGATTCAAGTTTCCAGGCCTTGAGCCAAGGAAAGTGGAATTCGTGAGCTCAGTCTGTGGAGTACGTGTTTGTGAGGGACAAAATGTGTAGGTCACGTTATTCCTCTGTCACCCTGGCTGGTTGGCTCACAGGTAATTTGCACCCTAGAGGCTTCTGCTCCTTTAATCTCCACAGTGGCAAGTGGTAGAGGAGCAGCACAGAGGACAGAACCATGATAAATCTGGCAAAGTCTCGAGACAGCCGCTACTGTGGACAGTGACATTGTAATTGCAGCACTGAAGATGGGGAGGAGAGTTGGGTTGGCCGAGTCTCCACTCACTGCATCCCTCAGTCTGCCATTTGGTGAAGGTTTCCTCGCCTTGAGGACACACAGAAGTGAAGTGAAGCAAGCAGTAGCCTTGCAGTGTTCTGTAAAAGCTTAATGATGGAGAGGCAAGGCTGGTAAAAGATAAAATACAGTTTTAAAGTAATGCTTATTTGGCTTTAAGTGGAAAGAAAAATGCAAAGGAAGATGTTTGCTACTAAGTGTAGAAAAATCTCCTAGTTAGGTAAGGTGGCAGCTTCTGTGCAGAACAGTCCCCTGTGGCAGATTGATAAGGGTAAAAGTGAAAGGGTCATGTTTAGCCTTAGCCTTTGCACTCCTTAATGATGTTAAAACCGTACCTTTGAGGATAAAATAAGCCCTCACTATAAAACTGGGGATCACTTCTTTTAATTTCTCATTGCGGAAAGTTTACATCAGAGAGAACAAGATTTCATAGAGTAGGTGACAAATATAAGACACGGATTTGCCCCCATTACCTTTGTTTCCTATGACATCAACTTCTTTCACTTGCACATCACCGAGGAGCTGTGGTTTGGTTTCAAAACTGAGCCTGTTTCTCTGAGACTGCTGAGAATGGACTTGCTGCAGCACCTCCCTCTGAACCCCACAACTGCAAGGATTTCTAAGTGTAGGCAGAAGAGGGGAGGGGTGATTTCTAAAGCAAGTGCTCCAACCATCATGTTTTTACCAGGAGCCAGGTACTAGGAATAGTTTAGTGAGATCGTTGCAAGCACTTTAGTTCAGAAAGGAGGCAACCTCGAGGAGAAACAAATTTCAGTCTGTTTACAGTTTTACTATGCTGTGCATTACTGGGGTTTGTGAGGGGATAGGGGTTTTTTATTTATTTTGAACTCTAGTAAACCTGTTGCTACACATCTAATTGATGTGTATTAGTGTTAGCAATTAGTATTTCCTGCCTTGGTACTGTGAAAATATCCTGCCTTTTATTTTCCTCTGTTAGAAACACATCTGATAAAAGCATTGGTGTTTACATAGTTGTGGTTAACAGGTGTGTTTCAGAGCTTGTCATTCTCCTCTGGGTTCCTGGTCAGATGCAGGCTCATGGTGATAAAGAAACACGGCCCTTCATTTGTCTGATGGATTGTTTGGTAAGGTGGTTTTGACTCCCTCCGTAGCAGCAGTGTTCATCCTTCCCTATAGATGCCTTTGGGAGAAAATCAAGAGCAAGTGAATGGAAATCAAATCACTTAATTCCAAGCAATAGTCTCACCAGGACATTCCTGAGGAACAGTTGGGAAGCTGCTGCTCCTGCATTTGTTGGAATCAAATCCATCTTGTGATCAGAGCTGTGTCCTTCTCTCTAATTGCCTACCCAGAACCTATTTTACATATGAAAGCTGAACTTTTAAAACCATAAGTATCCATCCATCTTTGGAGGAGTCTGTTGGGTGACAGCAGCAAGAAGAAAACAAGGACACTGTTGACTGCTTCTATTATAGTAATATCTGCAAAAAGATCTCCATTGCTTTTATTAAAATTGTCATTGGCTCTTAGTTGTCCTCCTGGAACATTAGCTTTGAAATTCCCCTGCAGAATCAACTGTGTGCAAATCACCTTGTTCAGCCAAACTTTTGACCTTTTCAAATACACATTGTGAAGTCCCAGGACGCTGAGTATTTCAGACTGCAGATTTAAAGCATGAAGATATCCCTTTTGGCAAAAAAAAAAAAAAAAAAAAAGTTTTCTTTTGTCTAAGTTGCATATAGCAACTATTCAGTTAGCCCACAGTGTCTTGGTTTTCAGTATGTCTTTAATTTTTCCCATTTATGAATGTCTTAGGTGAGAGCAGAAAACAGCTGGTGTTCAGTAAGTTGGATTCCACCAGCAGGTTTGTCAAAGTGACTTTGTTTCCAGACAAAGTACCTTAACATGATTTTAGAAAAAGTTGTCAGTTAAGTATTCAGTGGAATAAAAGCTAAGTGGAAAAAAAATTAAAATAAACAACAGCATAATTTAAAAATAGTCAGAGAGGGGCAGGCAGGAACCACAAGAGACACACTGATGCAGATCAGTGGTTTGCAGCCTGCACATCTCTCTGGTAGCTGCTTCTGTGGGGTCAGGGAGAAGAGACTGGGGGAATCATGCACATCTATGCTTGTAAAAGCAGGAGAGTGCTGGACTGGGGAGAAGATAGCTGGAAGAACGAGGGCTGAGTTAGAAATGGCCATTTCATGCCCTGGGAGGGGCAGGTGTTGCTTGCACTGGGGCATTGCTGAGCTGGGGCTGTGCAGCGGCGGTGCTTTAGGGAGTGCTGGATGGCATGCTGTGCAGGTGAAGCTGTGCTGCCTGGCATCTGAGATGCTCCAGCAGGCTTTAGGGGCCTCCTCCATCTCTCTGGAAATGGTACAGGGTTCTCTCCTCTCTGCATTGTTGTATGGTACAAAGGTGAGCACTGGAGGGGTTGCCATCTGGCTGGCATACACTTGGAAAGGATGCAAACAAGGGAGTCTTTCTGGGTGCACTGAGATGAGGCACTGAAGGTGGTGTGGTTGGTCCTGCTTCAGGGCTTCAGAATCAACAACACTGTTTTATAACCAATACCACTTTTGGGCAAGTTACACAAGATGTTTGTCACGTGAGATGTTGGAAGATGTTCCCCTCCCCTCCTTGAATTAGTCCCCTTTTAACTTTTTATATCTTTTTCACAATAGAAAAAATGTCTACGAGCACCTCCTTTTGACAAATGTAACGTAACTCATGTTGACATCCTCTCTTGTTGCTGTCAGAGTCTTTTGTGAAAGTGAATCAAGGCTTTATAGGGAATTGAATAGCTTCCTGTAAAGATGGGAAAGAAGGGATCTCCCAGTATTTGGAATATGTGACAGAAGGCACACTGGGTTCTTTGTGTATTCAGGCTTTCATCTGCATCCTCATGAGTTGGAAAAAAAAATTTGCCAAGAGTTTTTAAGGTAAGTTCTGAACTGACATATTCTTTTGGTGATCAGAAATAAAACAAGTCTCTAGTGGCACTTTTAGAAGATCTTCTGTGACACAGCCTGTTTCTAAATATGTCTCATATAAACTTACAGCTGAATTGCTACTGCCACACAGGAGCATGGGTTTTCATTTTTAAATATCTTATTGTTGCATGGGGCCATTCAGATTGAAGACATTTCGCTGTGCTCTAAAAGTAAATGCATTAGAATTAAAAGGTCTGTTGGCAAAATTTTTGTAATAGGTTGAACAGCAAATTCTTTACCAAAGGTCAGAGACCCTGAAGTTTTCCTGCCTGTGGAGGAAAGGTTGGTTTGTTTTCACTGCAGAAACTCTTGGAAGAGGCCAGTGTGCAGGAGAGCAGAGCTGTTTTGGGAGCCCCTGGCAGAGTCCACGGGCTGAGGCTCCACAGCTCAAAGTGCTGTTGCCAGTGCTATTCGGGACTGGGGTTAAGCTCTGTAGGCCTTGGAGTCTTGCTCAGATTTCAAATTGATCAGTCAGGGCAAAAAAATCCCTCAGAAGGCACACAAGAGGGCAAAAAGAATTGGAAGCAATGAGAAAGGTTTCCATGTAAGTGGAAAGAAACTTCTGAGTACATTTTTTTTTCTGACCGTGTATAATAGAGGACATAATGATTTGGGGGGATCTGTGGCTCAGATCAATGTAGATGTAGAACCTAATCATGTTCTCCTTGGCAATCTTCTGTAAAATTTACCTGTTCATCCCATGCCTGGATGGTTTGGATTTAAGAATTGATGAGTTCACAAGAAAAATCTGAAGGCCAAGTTGGATATGAGAGACAGATGAAAGGACCAGTTCCCTGTTTCTGGTGGAGCACTGGTTCTCCCCACGTGTTTATACCTAAATTCTGAACTCTTCCCACTGCACATCAGAGAAAATATCAACCACGAACTGAAAGACACTCGGTTAATTGTCATCAACCATTTATTCAGAGTCATATCTTGGTTTTCGTGGAGATGAGTGTTTGGTGTCCCTCAATACCATTTATGTGCTCACTTCAAACATGGATCAGAGCAGTTTACCTATTCAAGAATCCATACTTTTTTTTTTTTTGAGAATTGGTGCCAAACCTGTGTTTGTTTTCTTAAAGAAATTGTATCTGGTTTTGGGACGCTTGCAGACCAATTTTATTTTTGATGTTGGCCAAAATATAGAAGAGCTGATGGATTTTGTAAAAGCTTAATAGTGATTATTTAAAGCAGGAAAGGTTACTTAGTAAGGTTAATTCTGAATAAGAGCAGGATCAGGTCTTACATTCTTAAGACTTATTTTTAGTATGACTATGACTGATGCTGAGTGAGTGTAGTGCATTATTGAGCTCAACAGATCCTTACCCTGACATTTTTAGGACCTCTGGAGCTTTAGAAAATATTTCCTAATGTGGAGGAAAGTTTTCTGTGAGAAAGTGGAAAATAATGTTGTTCTTTTTTTTTTTCTCTATTATCCTTTATCCAACTGTGTTGTGTTTTGTTTTGTTTTGTTTTTCCACTCCGAAATGTGTATGTTTCTTGGAAGGGATGTGAATCCTGAAAAGAGCCATTTGAACAAATGGGGTGTGTGATGTTTAGTAGCTGCCACTGTTGGTATCTCTGGAAACCAAACCAGTGCTATAGAAGACTAAAAGTAGGCATCTAACTTGGCAAGTGCTTGGGAGAGGTGCTGTTTATACACGACTTTCTGTTTCCTCTGTGACTTAATGTACCTGGCTAACAAACCCTTCATTGAGATTCTGCTGTAGCCTTCATCAGAGATTACAGTGAATTTAATCCCAGTATAAACTTCATTTTCAAGCTCTCTCAAAGTCTGAATTCCCATTTTCATGTATTTTGGCAATAGCCTAAAAGTACCTGACAGCGTAAAACATCCATATAAATGACTGTTTATATCTCTTAATGTGTATTAATGTGAATAATTTCACTATTAGTTCACTTATACTCTTTGCATGTCCAAATACTGCACAAGGAGAAAGATTACTTGTGATTTTAAATAGTATTAATTTCCATCCTCAAAATAAAATTAATATTGAAACAAGAATCTCGGTTCTAAAACCTTGACAGAAAAGAGATTCTATTTTTAGATTTGTAAATCCACTCCCTTTTTATATTCTTCTATATCTTTAGAGAGAATCCATACAGACAAGGTTTGAAGTTGCAGTTACTCAATGATACTCAAATGTTTTACTTTCCTTAGTAAATTTATTTTTTATTTTTCACTTCAGTTATTTGTTCTCAACTCAAGAGCTGTAACAGCTTCTCAACAAATGTGAACTAATGGGAAGGTGCAAAGAGCTTTTAAAAATGCTATTAAAATATTTTTTACATATTGCAGTGTTTTTATATTAGAAATCAAAGTCTTAGCCAACACCTTTCTCTTTTTTTTTTTTTTTTTTTTTTTTTTTTTTTTTTTTTTTTTTTTTTTTTTTTTTTTTTTTTTTTTTTTTTTTTTTTTT